TTATGTAAATATGAAGCTGTATTGTTATCTCCAAGAGTTATATGAAGTTGAAATAACCTTTACAACATCCTTATGAGTCAAGTAGATAATCTTAGACCTATTTTTATAGATAAGAGAATTTAAGCCCTTGCATTAAAGCCACTTAAATTGGGTATATGAGAAGAGATACAATTACTGGATTCAGACTCAGGCCAGTATTTGTTGATACCTGAAAGTATTTTAAAGGGCAGTTTTGCAAAACTCCCATCATCCGCTCAGCAGTTAATGAGAAGAGTACGCATATTCTTCTCCCTCACTTTCTTTCTATGGTTCCTTGTGTAATTGATCTGAAATGCAAGACACCTTGTCTCAATGGTATCCAAGGGGAGCCAAGTATTTTGAGAGCTATTAAAAGACATCGTTCTAATGATGAAGCATATAATGTAATTTAGTGCAGCGGAAGCCAAGTTATCCACTAGCTATGGAGAGACCTAGGGAAAGGGGAAGACAGGATACTGATGTGACAACTCCTATAACTGGTGCAGGAAGGTCATGTGTGTAGTGAATACACCACCGTCTTTAACATTAACCCCCACCCCCACCAAATAAAAGCCAACATAAACTGGAGAATACAAATTTCACCTTCAACCTAAACAACTTGTTTTCAAAACTGTTCAACATTACTAGAAATTATTCAAAGTGCTAAATGTAGTGCCTGACACAAAATAAATCACCAATAAACATTAGCTGTTATTAGTTGGATTGGGAGAAAAAGGAATATTGCATAAAGTCAAGAACATACTAGGAATCAGATGCCTACACTGAAGCCTTCCTCTTTCACTAAATTGGTGTGTGACCGCGTTGTTTGGAAAGGGATCTGTGAAGTGGGAACAATGATCATACTTAGCTGAGTTTTGTTTAAAATAATTAATTAAATAGTTAATTAAGTAATGAGCGGATACATGTTAAATCCTTAGCAAGTTTTCTGGCATGGGTACACATCTAATTGACAAAATGTTAATACTGGACATTGTGCAGCTGACGTTGCTTTACCTGTGTGGCTCAGCCAGCCAGACATTATTCAGTGAGCCCTCCCAATGAGTCACAACTGAAGGAGGCACTGGGGAAAGAACAGATGAATGAGGGAGATGTGGTCCATACCTACGTGTAGATTTGTGGGGAGTTTTAGCAAAAAACACTCAAATGAAGTAATTGAAGACTACCATATATGTTAAGAAGCCAATAGGGGACTGACACAGAAAATGTGAAAGGAATTTTTTGTTGGGTAGGGAGTCAGAGAAAGTCTCTCCAAGGAAGTACATTTAAATACAGATATCAGGGCGCCTGGGTGGCTCAGTTGGTTAAGCGACTGCCTTCGGCTCAGGTCATGATCCTGGAGTCCCGGGATCGAGTCCCACATCAGGCTCCCTGCTCAGCAGGGAGTCTGCTTCTCCCTCTGACCCTCCTCCCTCTCATGCTCTCTGTCTCTCATTCTCTCTCTCGCAAATAAATAAAAATCTTTAAAAAAAAAATTAAATACAGATATCAAAGAAGAGTCAGCCACGTGAAGTAGGCATGGTCATGGGATTCCAGGCAGCATATGCAAAACTGAATGAGTTGAAAAAAACTTGGCACATGGGAAGAAAGGATGCCCAGAATGGCTGGAGCATATGGGTGAGGGGAGAGAGAGCTGCCAAAAGTAGTTGAAGAACAGGCAGCACTCACCTCTTGCAGGCCTAATTGGCCATACAAGGATCCCATGGGGATTTTATTCTGTTTGCAATGGTAAGTCAGTGAAGAGTTTCAAATAATGGCAAGGAATAATATTTTTTTATCCATTTCAAAGACCACTTTTGCTGCTTGGCAGGGCAAGTCATCTGAACTTTTTTGATCATGCAACGCCAATTAGCACGTGGCTCCCAAATGTTCATATTCTTTTTCTGTCTCTCTGTGTATAGTTAGATAGAAACATACATTTATATATGTTAATTCTTAATTAAATATTAACAAGGCTGTTTTCTTCCTGCACACAATGAATTATCTTATGGTACTATTTGGATACGTGTACCCCACTTCGGAGATGACTATTGCAGAGATAAGATGGAGCAGAGCATAGCTTTCTTTTTTTTTTTTTTTAAGATTTTATTTATTCATGAGAGACAGAGAGAGAGAGAGAGGCAGGCAGAGGGAGAAGCCGGCTCCCCAAGGGGCAGGGAGCCCAATGCGGGACCCGATCCCAGGACCCTGGGATCATGACCTGAGCCAAAGGCAGATGCTTAACCATGTGAGCCACCCAGGTGCCCCGAGCATATCTTTCAATGTACAATGAAAAGACTCCTTATTGGAATTACAGATCTATGTTCTCTACTGACATTTGATAGCAACTATTTTCCTAATAACCCATTCTTAATGCAGTACATTAATACAATCTGTTGGGTTACTTAGTGAGTTGTTGGATTGGAAATACCTTGAAATAGGCTAGCCCACTTTCCCCCATAATTAAGCCATTTCTTGAAGTCTTCCAGGAAAAGAAAATGGTTTAGGGAACTACTCGTACTTTCCTTTTCTGCTTGTTGACAAAGGATCAGAGACATAAGAAATAAAATGAATTTATAAAAAAAAAATTCTTGGAGCCAATTTCACCCACATCTGTGTAGCCTTTTTCTCAAATGAATAATTAGAATCAGGCATTTAAAAAACTCCTGCCCTCTATGAATTCTCAGCAAATGGACTGCAAATGATTTCATTTTAAAGGGATTATTGTAATGGGTCTGTTTTAAAAGATGGGAGTTATAAATTATTTGGGAAGGAAAAATCAGCTCTCTTTCTACCAATTCTTCAGGTGGAACTTCATTTTGAAATCAAAACCGCCTAAATTTTGGTAGGGCAATAATAGACTAAGACCAGAAAATTTGAATTCACTAATTTCTTTCTTTTTTCCATTTTGCATTTTCCAGTCCTATATTAGAATGGGAATTTATTCAGGTTCTGACTCTTTAACCTGGTTTTTCCTCTCTTGGAGGAAATCTCACACACTCATCCAGACTGGAAAGGAGGTTAGCAGGGGATAGAAAGAAGGCATAAGGCAAACAATCCCACAAAGCTCTGAAAACCTTTCTCAGGAGAGGAAAACAGTTGCCCTGGGTTTTAAGGAAGAGCATTTGCAGTTTTGGGAGGAGGGAGGACCTCTGGCTCTCCTCTCCATCTAGAAGCCTGCCAGACAATGTTCCTTTTTTAGGAGGATCCAGGCTTGGGTAGTTGAGGTGCTTTTCGAAGAACAGTCTGTGTCTCCCTTAAAAACAAACAGGTCACTCTTTGTCTTTAGCACTTACATTCAAAGGCTAAGGAGTCTGTTCCCTTGCATTTGCATATTTCTTGGATTGGACATAAGAACAAGAATTTAAATAATCGTTTGTGTAACACAGCTCTGGGTTGGATTGATATAAGAGAAATTCCTCTTGAACAGTATCAAAAAGGGTATCATTAATTGAAGAATAATCATCACTGCTACTTTTAAGTTGGTCCTAGCACAAACTCACAATTTAGATTTTTCAGGAAGGTTACCTTTGCAAGTGTGAAAATGAACAAAAATGTAATTAGAAACTGAAGATTTGCGTGGCATTCATTTGTTTAATCAGTAAATACGCTTCGAATAGTTTAATAGCTACCCTGTGATAAGGAAGTGTTATTAGGCCCATGAAGACTACAAAGAAATTTGAAGGTATTTCAAGCCTTAGAAGCAAACTTCCCATTTGAAAAAGGCTTGGGTTTGGGAAAATTCTTTGTAATTTTCAAAGCCCATTCACCTACTATAAATCTTCATCTGAACTTTTGAACAGTAGCAGGGGAGCTGGGCTGGACAGACATTATAATCATACAATTATAGAATTTTAGGAGTGGAAGGAATTTTAAAGGTCATCTGATGCAACCGCTTAATTTTAAAGTGTAGGAAGCTGAGAGATTGCCACTTCGTCTGAGGCCCCACAGCAAACTAGGCTGTGGCAGAGCATCCAGCATAGCCTTGAAGTTTGCTGATAAGAATCTTCAGGTATGTGCTAGAAGCTCTAGGCTAGGCACAAAAGACATAGGATAAATAAAGCACCGTGCCTTTTTTCCTGTATCTATTTGCATACAGACGTAGAATAGACTCACGATACGTATGTATTCAATTAAAGACTGACAGATTTCCTAGCGCGTAGGAGACTGTGTCAAGCTGAGGATAAAAATGGCAAACAAAATAAACTGGCCACTTCTTCCAAGTTGCTCACAATTCCTGTCCTCAGTGAGTTTGTGGTCTCTTCGGGGAGCCAAGATACATGCCCACAAAATGCAGGAAGATTGAATTCAAATACAGTGAGCGCTTCAGGAGGTCCGGAAAGGAATCTAAGCGTAATAATGGATGAAAAAAATCGCCCCAGACCACACACACACACACACACACACGATCATTTAATTACATCATTCTCCGCTGTTGCCTTCCTGGGATCTCCCCCAGGCTGGGACACTCAGGCTCTGCTTAAGCTACGGTAAAGACGCCAACTCGCGGAGACGAAGGAGGGAAAGACCAGGAGCCCACCCAACCTTGTCATCTAAACTGGAAGAGACGAGGAGGGGGTGGAGTGCGGGGGAGGAAACGGCAGCAGAGACTGACAGAAACAGTAAAATAGGAATAGGAAGTCCCCAACACAGCGAGCACTCCGCGAGCTCCGGCTGGCCGCCCCCACGGGAGGGAGAGCGGAGACGGCGGCCGCGGGGGCGCAGAGCGGGCGCCAGTAGCGCCCGCGAACCCAAGGGGAGGGCCGGCGACGCATCCAGTCCCCGCAGCCACCCGCGCGGCGCAGCTCGGCGGCGGGACGCGGCGCCCGGAGCCCCGGCAGCTCCCGCCCCCCCTCCCGCGCCGCCCGCCCGCCCGCGCGCCAGCGCCCGCTCCGCCCGTGACTTCAGTTCAGCTCCACCCCCGCGTGGCGGCGGCTCGCTCGGTCCGAAGCCGCGCTCGGCACCAGCCCAGCCTGGGCAAGCGGCCGCCACCTGCCCGCGCCGCCTCCGCCCGCCCCCTCCGCGGCCCAACTTGGATGGAGTTGGGGTCCTGAGCGCCTGCCCCCCGCAGCCGGCCCGCGGAGAGCCCCGCGCCGCCGCCCCCGCTCCGGCCCCCTCTCCGCTCGCTGCTCTCCGCTCCCGCGATGGGAAAAGTTGGCGCCGGCGGCGGCTCCGCAGCCCGGCTGAGCGCGCTCCTAGCCGGCGCGGGGCTCTTGGTCCTCTGCGTCCCGGGCGCCTGCGGCGGCGGCCCCTGCTACCCCCAGCTATCCCCCGGCGCGGCCCCGCGCTGGGCTGCGACCCCAGGTGGCTTCCCTCGCCAGGGGCCGCGAGGCAGAGCTGCTGCCACGCCCCTGCCCCTCCTTGGGCGCCCCCTGTTCGCAGTGGCCCCCGGAGACCGAGCGCTGTCCCTGGAGCGGGCCCCCGGCACCGGGGGGTCCGTGGCGGTTGCCCCACGCTCTGGCCGGCGGAGACGGAGTGAAGCGGATCCCGGGAAGGCAGAACGGGGAGAGGGCGCGAGTCGAAGCCCCCGGGGAGTGCTAAGGGATGGAGGGCAGCAGGAGCCTGGGACTCTGGAGCGGGACCCGGACAAAGCCACTCGCTTCCGGATGGAGGAGCTGAGACTGACCAGCACCACGTTCGCGCTGACAGGCGACTCCGCACACAACCAAGCCATGGTCCACTGGTCTGGCCACAACAGCAGCGTGAGTAGATGGGGACTGAGGGCAAGGGGTGAAAGATGGAAAGGGTTAAAGCAGAATGTTGTGTTCTGATGGAGAATTTGGGGAAATGAGGTTTCTGGACTTGAGAGATGCTGCAAGCTAAAGTCTTCCCTGCCCACGTCCCCTAGGAGTTAATGTCACCTATCAGGAGACCCATGGCACCATCAGAGTCCTCTCAGAACCCCTCAAAAGCTTCAGACTGGGCAGGCAAATCCCTGTTTCCTGTTTCCTGGTCTCATTGGTGTAGTAACAGAGCTGAAGACAGGCAAACAGAGGGGGTTAAGTATTCTGAATGTGGAGGTGAATGGGTTAAATTTCCAGGCAGGATGACATTCCTTTAAGTGACTTTCCTTTTACTTGCTAGACTTATGGGTGAGCACAAGTAAGATCAAGAAGACTTTACCTATAAGCTTATTTTTATGCAAAGCTTCTAACCCCCTCTTCCCCAGAAGGGAAGAGATATGCAGCGGACACTAAGGTGCCCTTAATGTATTCTCTGTTTCTGGGGACCAAGTGGATGCAAGTTTCAGGACAGGAACTCTCTAGCATCTTCTAACAGCACCAGCCAGTGTGTTTTGAGAGCTGGGGCTTTCCAGCCTGTGAATGAGTGGTTGTTCTCTGGCATGATCAGTCCCGGGAAGATCAGATATATCCCAGTGACAACAACCCCCTGTTCTTCCCCATTGACTGACCTCCTCTAGAGAAGAGCACAAATAAAGACTTAGCCCTCCTTTTATGAAGGGACCAGGGGGATTGCTGGATTCCCCATGCTGACACTGGGGAGAGTGGGTGCAAGTCCATGAGCATTGGCCACGTCAGGGGAGGTTTTAGATTTTTGGAAAAGCCTGCATGTCTGGAATCTGGGGTAGCTATTCCAGCTTAAACTGCACCTAGAAAACTTCAATGAGCTGAAATAGTAAAGATCCAGCTTTGATGGTAATAAGTGAAGATGATTTAAAAGTGTGGAAAGTTCTCTGAGCTGCCATTAAGCAGACAAGAAGAACATAAAAACCAAGGATGGGTAAAATGAAAAAAAAAAAATCAGAGTTTCAGCTTCCATCGGGTTATTGAGATTGTAGTATTCGTAACATGTACAGTCTATGCAGCCTGGTACCTTTCAAAATGTTTTCAGTTGTGATGTCATTGCCAGAAACCTTCCCAGGGAAGTGCCACTTTAGTGAGTTGTGCTCATTGTCAGCTTTTTAACGAAAGTTGTGAATGTTTAAAATAATAGTCTGTCGTCGTGGGTTCTTTGGGTATATAGATATAAACTGTATTAAGGCAAACCATGATAAATGCTTTTTTTTTTTTTTTTTTTTTGCATTGATGTCTCTGTCCTGAGAGGATCAGCAAGGTTTTCCCTACAATTCAGCTCTCATGACCGAGGCTATGGTTTTCTATGGTTCTCAGGAATGATTTAATCAAATAATTGAAGCTGAAATTCTTTCCATTCAAGTTCCGGAGACCCTTGCCCTCATTTCTTACCTTAACTATCATATCTTTCATATCAAAACCACTAAAATTAATCCCCCAATTTGAACTCAAATCTTCTTAAACTGAATAACTTTCACACTGCTTTAAGTGATTAACTCAAAGCTTCTGGCTTTAAGGGGAGATTTTAAACACATCAAACATTATATCTGGTTGTATCGAGAAGTAAAGGACATTGGACTCAAAATATTTCTGGCTTTTAATGTAATTTGAGCTGTAAAGTATCACGCACCCATTAGACTAGTTCATCTCTTGAAAGATCCTGGAAAGAGCTGGAAAAGGAGAATACATCTTTGGCAAATTTTAAACTCCATTTAAGAAATGGCGCCAAGCACTGCCAGCCTTTTTTATTTTTTATATGATACTTATAAGCACAGTCCCACTTCTTAGGGTCAGGTCGTGGATGGGCAACATGCAGGCATGTCTGAGATAATGTAGCAAATAATCAAGGTAGTGCATGTGAAAGGTTTGAGCATTCAGATCATGTTGCTAGTGAGATTTCTACCCTTTGAAGTTTTTAATTCTGTAAGGAACCCCCCCCCCCCCAGCCCCAGCTCTGCATCCCTGCCTGTTTATACACAAATAGGTTTTTTTTTTTTTTTTTTTAGCATATATATGCAGATGGCAGAGGGAGAACTATAGTCTTAATCCAGGTCCCACAAAACAAAACTGGCCCAGATTCATAGGAGACACAAAGTTTAACAATTGTTTTTAAAGGAAGGAAGGCAGAAAAAACTTTTTCTGGGCAACTCTGTGAGGTGAAAAGCTGTGTGGAGACTTGAGTTCTAGTTCTGCTTATTTGTGGTTTGATCTTGGCAAGTTGATTGCACTCTGAGGGTGAATTTCCTCATCCTTGAAATGGGGTCCATGCCAATTCATTACATGCCAGGTTGCACATAAGTGTGTTGTGATTGTCAAGAACAGTACGGTACACCTGTTTAGAACTCTCAACTTACAGCACTTCACGTCTCCCTAGAGCAAGAAATCCACTAACTTAAACCTGAGGGCAACACTGTGGGGCTCTCATTTTCTTCCCATTTAGATGTCAGTCCCCCTGTAAATCCACCCCCTGACCCACTCAGGGCCAGAGGCAATACACATCCTCTGAACCTGTCTCACCTTTAGCTAAAAGCCTTGTTAAGTAGGGTTTCTGATTACAATAACACCTGCATTAAAGCTGTAAATGTATGGTAATTATAGGCTGCCTGTCATACTTGTGAGGAATTCTGGATGTTTCTCTCGCCTCCTTTCCTTCTTCTTCCTGCCCCCTCCACTGTTGGACTTGTGCAGTTGTGTAAAGACATGACTGTTTTGCCTCATCCGTGGGAGTGATGTGATTCCTCTATACTGCAGTCTAGCTTGATGGAAAGTGTTGCTAGAGTTGGTGGAACACCTGGGGGATCTTTTGGCATGAAAGGTGCTGGGTATGAATCATTTGTCATGAGCTTGGTGTCGTAAGCAAGAACATATTGTTCCTACCCTACTCATCCTAGGCATGCTGTGCCCTGATCTAAATTTATACAGTAATCCTTAGTTTGTTAAAATATATATTTGTCTATATATGCATGTGTGATGGGGCATGTGTTTATTCTTTATTTCCAAGAAATTTCAAAGTGCCACACTTATTAACCCTTATAAAACCCTTGTTAGGTAATAGGTGAGTGGCAAGTGTTAATATTGATTATTCATATTTTTATTCTGGAGTCAATTTGAGTATTTCAGTTCACTGTCTTGTCCTTTTCTTACCGGAAATAGTGTCAGAGGCTTTTACTTCTATTTTGCCATTATGATACTTTAATGCTGTATTAGGATAGACCACGATGATCTGGTTGATTTCCATGTACCACTTTGTCTTTCCTTGTTCTGGGACTTGACATTTACCATCCAACCTTCATGAATAAACTGAGTCCCAACTTGGGTCAGGTTTTGGGTAGATGCCTTACGTTCTATCATCACACTTAATTTTCACAAAAATGTTATGAGTAGATATTCTTATTCTCATTACATAGAGAAGCAACCTGAGGCTCTGGAAGCTAACTGAGTTACTGAGATGGTACAAAAGGTCAGTGGCAAATAGGGGCTGGCACCCAAACCTCACAGACTGGCTGGTCTTAAAGATTTTCAGGTAGGACAGAAGAGCTCAGACCTCTTGGAGTCAGTATTTTAAATAATCCTCTCTTGGGGTGGATTTCAGATGATGCTGGAAGAGGGCGCAGTGTTAGCTGGGAGCTCCATCTCCTTGTAGAAAAGCAAGGGTTTTAACACGTGCCTGTCACATTGCACTCTTTACCTTAAGTAGTGATTTGGTTGTTCTCTTATCCGCCTACCTCTTCATCTTTAGTGAGACATGGAATCTGCACCTGGTGATTCATTGAGCACGAGGTAACCTGCCATCATTCTGCACTCAGATCTGGTGTTCTTCACGAACAGATTCCTTTTCTAAGTGACTTACAAACCTGATTTTGGAGAGAGGTTGCATGTAAACACTTGCTTTGACTGTACATTTAAACATATTTTTTACTTTTTAACAAAGTAAAATGATAAACAATTTTAGCTTTCTCTAGCAAGCCCACATATTTCCTTCTCTGATCGGTGCTTTATGCTATTAGTGAATGTTAATGTGGTGTGACATGGAAGGCAGTGGGTTTGGAGCAGACAAATTTGAGTTTGAACGTTAGCTCTCCTGCTTACCACATTCTGCCTTGAACAAGACATTTAAATTCTTGGAGCTTCACCTTCCTCCACTAAAATATGGGGATAGTGTGTCTTTCGCAGGCTTTTCTTGCAGATATGACATCACGTATGTGAAGTGGCTGGTACGTAGTAAGTGCTCAATAAATGCTCTTTGTTCTTTTAATTGCAGAAATAATTCTCCACTGGCAGATAAGAATCCTGAGTTATAATCTCAACTGTGTACAACAATTAGATATGTAGTCATAATGTGGCCTCAACAGTTTCATCCTCTGTAAAATGATGGAAATAGACCAGAGCACCACAGAAATCCCTGAGGGGTTAAAATTAACTTAACAGTTTGTGCAGCGTGCAGGTATTGTGCACCTACTACATTTAAGTGCACTAGGAGTGTTGGGGATGCACAAATGACACAATGACCTATACCCTTGACCTATAAGGAGCAAGCCTTTCATTCACGTGATTCCTCCTTTTTTTCCATGGTTCATGTGCGTATCTACTTATAGGAATTCAAAACATTTAAGATCCAAGCAGGCATTCATTTCAATGCGTGTTTGCAGCAAAACCTAATTTATTATATTTATTGTATCACATCTTCATGTTAAGGAATTTTTTATCTTTGGACAAAAAAAAAATTCTTCATATGAAATTGGGAAGTCAGTTTCTCTTAAGATATTTAAGGGGTTTTCTAGAGGAAAACGACATGAATGTTGACTCTGGGAACTTTCTCCACATCCTTTTATAGAAAACCCCCAGAAATTCATAGACTAAGGTACAAAAGCTGAGGGACTTATTTATTT